ACCAGCCCATAGTTATAGAGTCCACAAGAAATTTGACACTTAGGTCAAGACATAAAAATGGATACCTAGATAGTTCCATGATATTAGGTAAATATTGCGTTTCTTTGTAATAATAGTTATTCAGTGTGGAAATCTCGAATTAAATATATAATCATTATCTTTAGCGTTATTTAAAAAAAACTATATTATAAGGATGGTGGTAACACGTAATTGGTTGTTTTCGTAATACGTATAGATAATGTGATTCACGCTTGACTAGTACTGTTGATAGTAACGTTTTTCAATGGAACATATTCATACGTATTTATTAGAATACTCTGAACGCAGGTGAAATTTTTCGACTGACAGTAGATAAAATAATTCTGATACAGTGGCTATATTATATCTCTCTTTCTCTCTCTCACACCTCTCTCTCTCTACTCTACTGCATTCCGTGCTTAGAGAGTATTGGACGTTTTTGCGTTTCTTAGCCAAAACTGAAAGACGGCTGATTAGCAGGATCAGAGCATTCTCTTCTACTTTGTTCCCTCAAATTTTTTTCTACAAGTCTTTTACATTTACCTCTCTTCAACTCATACCAAATATTCAATGATCTGTTGCTATAATTCTTCTCCAGCTATTATCCAGTCTTTCTCTTCTCCTTCTTCCATTTGGTCGGCATTTAAGTGCCTATCTGGTTATATTATTTTGGTGTTTACTTATTGTATGTCCAATTCTTTTAGTTCCCTATTTTAATAATTGTCACTCTTACTTTTTTCTTATTTTGTTCTTTTGTTTAGTTTTACATTTACTGTTTTTTCAGACCAGTGTATTTTTTAAATTTTTACCAGCGATTTATTTATAAAGATTTGTATTTTTTCAGTTATTTCTTTCTGTCTCCAATACTCTGCACCATACAATAATATCCTCTTATTAGAGCTATCAAATATAATATTTTTCTTTTCTCTTACTAGAAAATTATATATTACCTACTATTTGGATGCTAAGTAAATGCATCAACAGATACTGACACGTAATGACTAGCACGTAATAAAAAAATACACTTCAGTTTTATAAAAATGTGTAATATCACATAAGCCTCGTAAGTCAGTTGGTCGAATTACCATGGAAACGAATTAAAAGACGTTATTTTGACAGATTAAAAATCATTAATCTGTCAGTGTAAATATAGTGGTAATTTAATTTTTATATTTGTAAACGAAAATAATCGTAGAAAAAGTATAGTACACAACTTAAGTTGTAAGCTTATTACATGCTTGTAAAATTACTGCGCTCGCCGCTACGCGGCTCGCGCGCAATTTTTTTTAGTCGCATGTAATAAGCTTCTTACAACTCTCGTTATGTAACATACTATTAAGGAGTTATATGCATATTGTGCATTTACGATTCTTTTTTTTTTTTCGTCTAATCAACTACCGAATTTTTTTATGATTAATCCTACCTATGTAGTTATCTACTTCCTCTATTTGTATTCCTTTTATTTTAATTTTAGTTTGCTGGCTGTTATTTTAAGTTTCGTTTCTTCTGTATTATGTGGTTTTTATATTCGGTTAGGAGGCAAATGTCATCTGAGAACTCCAACTGAATGTGCAAGTTTCACGTAATACCTGTTTTTTATTGCTTAGTTTCTCTATGATCCAATCCGTTATGATTGGGAATCGTGTCGGAGACAAAACGCATCCTTGTTTAACCCCCTAGCCATATCGTCTTCCATTTCTTCCACATGTTCCAGTCCCGCTCTATATGCTTTCTAGAATAATCTGATCAGGTTAATGTATTTCATCAGTAATCTATACAATTTTATAATTATCTATATTTGATCTTTATTTATACTATCGAAGTCCTTTTTAAAGTCAATAAACATTTTACATGGAGGAACTCTCTTCTGATGCCAACCAATATATAGTTTCGTCGTTGTTTTTAATTTTAAACTGTTTGTTCTTGTGTTGTGTTGCATTAATTACAAGGCGTCATATTCAAAGAGCTCTAGCTCTAATCAAAAGTATTTTCTAACTAATCTTTGTTTCAAGCTAAGAAAATAACATTACGTTTATGGAGATCAGTGTTGCCAAAACTCTCAGACACTCTCTTTTGCACGGATGTCCAAAATATTCCCTTTGCTTAATTTTTGAATTTTCATTCTTAATTAACATTTAACTGTAAAGTCAGAATAACTACTAAATAAAAGCCTTATTATCATTATGTAGTCAGAGAACGACATAAAATCGCTGACATACGCACATCGTATTATTTTAAGTTGCAATTAGTAATTAGATATACGCATTCCAAGCGGTCCGTTTATTTGCTTTTAAAACTTTAATAGGCGGCAGAATGCATGATTTAAGTAAGCAATATTTTCTACTGATTTCTATGATTCATGGCATAAGGCGCGTACAGATATGCGAGCCAAACGGTATACGAACGGTACGCGTACAGCTCGTTGAAAATATATCTACATCGAACGGTTCGCGAACATCTCGCGAGCCATGGAAAGCGAAAACCAGCAACGAACACACATGTGCGAAATGATTCATTTTATTTATAATTTGGATACTGATTTATCGTGTTTCTGTTTCACACGTCATATTCATTTAATTTGTAATTCAACTGACTCAAAAAACAATTTGGGAGATTTGTTACAACCAACGAAGCTTTCTTCTACACACATAAATAAGTCACGTTCAAAAATGTAAATCAAGACATCATTTGCTTGTTTAACAAAAATACAAATATGTACAATAATCCGTTTACTGTTTTTTCACGTCTTTCTAGGAAGGAACACGTCATTCATAAATTGTCGATTTGATGAGACAATAAAAATGTTCGCTGCGTTTAGTAGCGCCGTCCAAACTGAACGACGAGCTTCTTTTGAAGTCGTGGAATAAACCGCCACAATTTGGTTCGCGACGAGCAACGAACGAACAGTTCGCGAGCAGTTTTGTCTGCCGTACAAATTAGCGAATATTGTGTTCGCGAACCGTATGCATACCGTTCGGCTCGCATATGTGTACCGAGCTAGAAGGCGCGTACAGATATGCGAGCCAAACGGTATATGAACGGTACGCGTACAGCTCGTTGAAAATATATCTACATCGAACGGTTCGCGAACATCTCGCGAGCCATGGAAAGCGAAAACCAGCAACGAACACACATGTGCGAAATGATTCATTTTATTTATAATTTGGGTACTGATTTATTGTGTTTCTGTTTCTTATATATATATATATATATATATATATATATATATATATATATATATATATATATTTATATATATACTATATAATGTAATAGAGTCCCTAGTATAGGCTAGAATAAATAAAAAATTTCAAAAACTTCAACCGACTCCAAAAAAAAAACAATTTGGGAGATTTGTTACAACCCACAAAAGTTTCCTCTACACACATAAATAAGTCACGTTCAATAATGTAAATCAGGACATCATTTTCTTGTTTAACAAAAATAAAAATATGTACAATAATCCGTTTACTGTTTTTTCACGTCTTTCTAGGAAGGAACACGTCATTCATACAATGTCGATTTGATGAGACAATAAAAATGTTCGCTGCGTTTAGTACCGCCGTCCAAACTGAACGACGAGCTTCTTTTGAAGTCGTGGAATAAACCGCCACAATTTGGTTCGCGACGAGCAACGAACGAACAGTTTGCGAGCAGTTTTGTGTGCCGTACAAATTAACGAATATTGTGTTCGCGAACCGTATGCATACCGTTCGGCTCGCATAAGTGTACCGAGCTTTATATTTTCACCGAAAAACAAATAAACTGTCGTTACTATAAATAAGATAAAATAAAATAATCTTTTGTACAGTATTGTGCGAATTAATGGAATCATAGGCTGTTTCAATGAAAAAACTGTTTATTTAGTAAAAAATTATATTTTGACAAAGCTATAAAGGTAAGCTTACATCATTCGGTAGGAAATATGTCCCCCTTTGACAGCAATTACTGCTTTTACTCGTTTTGGCATAGATTCTATGAAATTCAGGCAATTGTCAGATATCCTTTCATCTCGATACCAAACCTGAATGGCCGCTTGTATCATTTTTGTTTTAGTGCTACAGTCGATTTTTCGCAGTCTAGCTTTGCAAATGGCCCATAAATTTTCAATGGGGTTGAGGTCGGGCGAATTACCTGGCCAATCTAAAACATTAATCTTATTTTTGAAAAATGCCATCATTTCCTTTGATTTGTGACAGGGAGCAGAGTCCTGTTGAAGAATCGCTCCTCCTTGGGGTTGACATTTTTGGAGTTGTTTGTCCAAATAATTTTCCAACATGTATTTGTATTTTTGGCTGTTCATCATGCCTTCAATTTTCACCAAAGATCCAACCCCCATGTATGAAAAACATCCCCAAAACATTTTCTTGACTTGAAAAAAAAAATTCATAGTGATTCCATTAATTCGCACAATACTGTAAATACTATTTACCTAATGAAAATCATTTTCCTTACTTTTCATCTCTTGTTTCGAATGGGCACTTTTGGTCATTTACGGTAAAAAACATTAATTTAATTCATGTCTGTGGAAACGAAAATACAAATTATACAACCCTAAATTGTGCTTGTGTGTGTCGTGGCAACACCGCGTTTCTATCGTCCATAAGAAATACATGGCCCTATCTTCGCAATGTTATTTTTTTAACGTGGAACGTAGTATAGGTGAATTGGATTAAATTGTCTTAAAAATATCTGGGGAATTTCCGGTCTTCATTTGTCAGGAGAGTTTCTGGACACCCTGTTTATTTTTATGTATGAAGTTGATGAATCACAGCGTTTAATAGAATTTTTTAAAATCTGGCAAGAAACATATTTATTTATTGTGTTTCATAAGAGATTTTTATACTATATATTTGAGAAATACTGTTGGAAGAATATAGCTTCAAGTAATATACCGTAACTGTTTGTAATTTTTTTTATATTGAGTTTCTAGACGTTTTGTGTCTATTCTATTTAGTATATAATACATATATTTGTTTCAGGAAATGAAAAATTAGAGTGCCTAACTAACAATTTTAAAATAACTGACGATCGAGGATCGTTGCTGTTTTCTGCTGATAGAAAAGAGGTTTTAGTGGGATCCGAAACTCTTCGAGTCGTCGGAGAGGGTGGAACAAGTTTCAGCGGATCTGTACAAACGACATTGGTCAGAGCCGATGCTGGCCATGAGCTAAGGTAATATTTTTGCAAAAATATTTAGTAAACTATAAATTTGCTGATAACAAATAAACACTATTATTTTGTCTTGTAATATTATTATGTTTGCAGTGACAATTTACATAAAGATTCACACATGAGTTTCTATATTTTATTTGTGCTCCTTCACAATGTGTAACTTTTTATAATCTAGTTCATCTGTAGTAAAGTTGACTGACTGATTGACATCCCTACCCTTAATGCTAGAGCTGCCAAGCTGAGCTATATCATACGTCTCCCATTTAATTTCCTAAATGTAGAAGGCTTGATTATTCTCCTACCTGATCTAGTTTGAGGTTGAAGCTAACTTTCATTGCTATCCCTTAAATTGTTAGTATTTTAATGAGAATTGATACTAAGTTTGTCTGCTGGTGCATTAAATATATTGTTATCAGATTCTCTAGCAGGCAAATAGGACGTATTAAAAGGATGTGGAGATGATTTTATAAATGAGTTTCTTCCATATTCGCTATTTTTTACAATACAGAAATACGAAATCCTTTACAATATAGAAATTGGGACTCTCATGTTTATCTACAATTTCTGCGATCATGCAGACTCTGTCTTTTTTAACTATTACACTTTGAAGAATAAATCTTTTAGCAAAAAGCTGCTATCGCTGTGTTGTATTAAAATGGCCAAATATATGGCCTAGGAGGACAAATTCGTTAAATTTCCCGTGCTCGAATCGGTATCACTAAACTGTTATGATCATTTCGGCCTATCCCAGCCATCGTCAGACACTTGGGCTGATACAAATTCAAACACGGAAAGTAGGACGAATGTCTCCTAAAGCTTCACCACTGCAGTGGTTTGCGAGCAGAGGCGCCACCTGCTTTTGCGGCCGTGAACGAAAACGATATAATCACTTCGTTTTCTACCTCTGGGCTATGCGAAATGTGTAAAGAATAAATCTTTTAGCAAAAAGCTGCTATCGCTTTGTTGTATTAAATTGGCCAAATATATGGCCTAGGAGGACAAATTCGTTAAACTTCCCGTGCTCGAATCGGTATCACTAAAGTGTTATGATCATTTCGGCCTACCCAATCATCGTCAGACACTTGGGCTGATACAAATTCAAACACGGAAAGTAGAACGAATGTCAGGTGGCGCCTCTGCTCGCAAACCACTGCAGTGGTGAAGCTTTAGGAGACATTTGTTCTACTTTCCGTGTTTGAATTTGTATCAGCCCAAGTGTCTGACTATGGCTGGGATAGGCCGAAATGATCATAACACTTTAGTGATACCGATTCGAGCACGGGAAGTTTAACGAATTTGTCCTCCTAAGCCATATATTTGGCCAATTTAATATTACACTTTATATTACATCACTTTAACCATATTTATATTACACATTATAACTGTCTGTTATAAAATCCATATCTTTTTTTGACCTGTCTATCGTAATAATATTTTCTCTTTACCCGTTTTTTATTTTATGGTTTTTGACAGCAGGTTTTTCCTTTAAGATTTTACTGCATACTGGTAATCTTGTTCTTTTTTTTTAACCTATTTTCTATCCTTTCATTGTTGGATATAGGTCTCCCCCAGTTCTCTCCATCTTTCCCTATCTTGAGCTGTTCTCTGCCATGTGGGACCTTCTTGTTTCATGATGTCATCTTTCCACCTCATCTGTGGTCTGCCTCTTGATCTCTTTGCAATGTATGGGCGGCACTTTCCGATGGCATTGTTCCATCGTCCGTCTTGGAGACGTTCATTGTGTCCAGCCCATTTCCATTTTAGTTTTGCTGCTTATTTTATCGCGTCTACTGTCTTTGTTCTGTTTCTGATCCACTGGTTATGTTTTCTATCTCTAAGTGATACACCCAACATTTGTCTCTCCATCGCTCTTATATAACAGTATGTTATATAACAATTCTGACATTACAAATTCTTAAGATCTAATACAACGTTTAAATAATATTAGAATAGAAGATAGTTAGTATTTAGTTTCTTTTGATGTTTCAAATTTGTTTACTTCTGTACCAAGAGATGAAACTTTACCTTTAGTACGCAACCTTCCAAACAATTGCAACATATCAGCAAAAGACAAAGATGCCATCTTAACTATCCTTAAATTTTGTCTTGATTAGAACTTCTTTCAATTTAATTAAAAAATATATAAACAAGCAACAAATTTAGCGATGGGTTCTCCATTATCACCTTTCTAAGAAAGCTTCTAGCTGATGTTCTCTCAGACAGATAAGAACAGAAATTTCTTAACAATACCAACAAAATAGTTTTTTGGTTAAGATATGTTGATGATTGTGGTCTCATATAGGGAACCCAAGATGATGCTTGACAGATTCTGATGATCTTAATAACCTCCATCCTAACATCTCTTTTGCACAGGAACCAGAATCTGACAATAGGTTAAACTTCTTATATATGACTATATCTCGTAAAAAAGATTCTCTAGAGTACAAAATTTACAGAAAACCTGCTCAAACAGATCATGTTACATACATGTAACATCTAATCATCCAATCCAACATAAAATGGCTACTTTCAATAGTTACATTTATAGGTTACTGAAATTTTTTCTTTCTAATGAGAACTTCAATTTAGAACTTAATGCTCTCAAGCAAATTGCTTTCAATAATGGTTAGGATTCCAACATTATCCATAAGTTTCTAAATAGAGCTACACTAACAATTGCAGAAAAGCTTATTTATTCGTAACAATGCTTGATTTAACCCAATAATACAAATAACATCACATATTTCTACTTTACCTATATCAGTAATATTTCCAAAAAATATCAAATGTTTTTTACTTGTATAATTAAAGACATCAAAATTTCCTTCAAGCCGCACAACAGTTTAGGTTTCTTTTTAATCAACACCAAAGATAGGATAAACACTCTAACAAAAATGATATTTATAAATTCAAGTGTGATTATTGTGGTGCCTCTTATGTAGGTAGAACCATTTGAAAAGACCAAACTCTTAAGTTTTGGCCACTATTTATTGTCTAGTAAACATAATTTTTACATCAATACTGGTTCATCTATTTTACATTACATTAGTAAAAAAAGTATTTCGAGTTTTTTCCAAGTTAATTAAATTTTCCTCAGTTGAACAAACGTTTCTTGGGTTATTTCAGATGCCCCTAAAGATGCTTTAGGAACGAAAGTACTTGGGCAATATTTAATAAAAACTATGCTCGATATCTGCTGCCTTATATTTGATTAAAATTTAATTATTAGCATATTAAAGTACTTATATTAATAGTACAGTAGTACCTTAATATACGAGCATCCTAATATATGAGTGTTTTAAAACACGACCTGCGGAGTGAGCGATATTTTGCTTTGAGATGAAAGCAAGGAATCGGTTTTTATTTAAATGCATACCTCTTAATTGACTTGCATACCAATTTGCTTTGTAAACAAAAGGTAGTTTTACTCTTAATATATCTTTGCGGCCTCGCCATAAAGATCATTTTACGGTTCTGTACGTGATTATTACTTTTTTTTTGGGAGGTGAGAATCTTCAAAAGACCGTCAGGGAAGGGGTGTCCCTGGTGTGTCGGATTCAGTCCGTTACGCTGTACCGCGCTGTCGAGACCGCCTACCGACTAAACTCACCTCCTCTTCCTCCAGCCGGCGGGTCTGGAACCGCTCTTAGCGAGAATGTCTGACCCGTCGACCTTACTCATAGCTCCCCCCAACACCCCCAGCGTGAACTCTATGGATTGGTAAGCTTCACGGATGCCTTCTCCGCACAGCGAAGTAACCGAGGACGCGAAAGAGGGCGGTTGGGATGCTTCCCAACCCATGATCGAACCAACCCTTAGATGTCAGTCGGCAGTTACGAATAACTTCAGTCGTTCATATCTTCATCTATTCACTCTTTCTCATCCACCCCTTTATCTATACTTAGTCTCATTCAACTCCAGGCATTCCTTACTTTCATCTAGACACACCTACTCATCCATCTATTCATTCTAACATTTAGATGGGGCAGTCTGTGTAGGTCGGATGTAAAAGGTCCTTCCCTACTGACTGTCCCCAGACGAAATATGACATAGTTTAGAGTAATAGAGAAAGAAATTAAAAAAGAAATAGAAAGAGAGAAGGACGGGGATGGATGAAATGTGACTATTACTTAGACCGACAAATTAATTGGTCATTGGAAGGTAAAATCGATAAAAGTTCTGATTCTAATACTAACTAAATTGCACTCTCGATTTCGGTGTAATTTACACTGTGTAAATTTTTACTATAGACCTCAGTCTGTCTGCTTGTTTCCCTTATTTTCGAAGTATTATTATTAAGTTGGGTTTGCGTTTTGTGCTTTTTGTACATTACAATATTACATTTATTTTTACAACCATGGGTGAGAAGAAGAAGATAATGTCTATTGAACTAAACAAGGTGTAAGAGTTACTGACTTGGCAAGGATGTACGGACGTACCACATCAATGATATTATATACTGTACTTAAACAGAACAATGTGATAAATACTATAATACCAGCTAAGGGCGTTACAATAATTTGGAGAAATAAGCTCCGGACTTCTCTCCCTGAAAAGATAGAGAAACTACTAATGGTGTGAGTGACAGTGAAGCAGCTTCAAGAAGAAATTTTAACACAAGCATCATATGTGAGAAGGCACGAATGATTTACGAAGATTTGCTGAAGCAAATCCCACACACTTCCACAATGCCACCGGCATTCACTCCGTCATCAGCCATGGTGAGGCAGCAAGTTAGGATGTGAAAGCAGCTGAGGTTTACATCGAATCGTTTTCCGAACTGATAGAAGCCAAAGGATACATCTCCCATCAAGTCTAAAATCTTGAGAGGAGAAGACGATTCCAGGTCCCAAACCTATTAAAGATAGATTAACTATACTACTTTGCACCAGAGCGAGTGGCGACTGTAAAATCAAACCTCTTCTAGTATACCATTCAGAAAATTCCAGAGCCTTTACGTCACATACGATTTTAAAAGAAAAACTGCCATGTTTGTGGAG